TTTTTTTTTTTTTTTTACACAGTCTCACTGTCAACCTTGGTAGAGTGCCATGGTATCACAGTTCACACTACCCTCTAACTCTTGGGTTTAAGTGATTCTCTTGCCTCAGTCTTCCAAGTAGCTGGATTACAAGTTCCCCCAACAACGTCTGCCTATTTTTTTTAGAGATGAGGTCTTCCTCTTGCTCGGTTTGGTCTTTAAGTTCAAGTAATCCATCCACGTCGGCCTTCCAGAGTGCTAGGATTAAAGGTATAACCCACAATGCCCATCCAGAACTGACTGAATAGCAACAAATTAAAAGCTGCATATAAACTGACAGTGAATTTTTTTTTTTTTTTTGCAGTTTTTGGACCAGGCTGGGTTTGAACCCGCCACCTCTGGCATATGGGTCAGATGCCCTTACTCCTTTGAACCACAGGCGCCGTCCCAGTGAACTTTTTCTGTAAAGAGCCAGGTAATAAATGTTTTAGGCTTTTCCTGTATGGTCTTTAGCAATCAATGTTGCTCTTTAATAACAGAAGGAAAACAGATAATGGACAATACCTCAAGGAATGGGCATGCCCATGTTTCAATAAAACATTATTTATGAACAATGACGTTGAGATTTCATATAATTTTCACATACCACAAAATTCTTTATCGGGAAGCCATCAAAAAAAAAAAAAAATCTGAGATGCGAGTGGTGGTTCACGCCTTTAATCCCAACACTGGGATGCTGAGGCAGGTGGATCACTTGACCTCAGGAGCTCCACATCTGCCTGAGCAAGAGCGAGACCGTGTCTCCAAAAAGAAGACATTGTTGGGCATTGTGGGTGCCAGTAGTCCCAGCTCCTGGGGAGGATAAGGTAAGAGGACCTCTTGAACCCAAGAGGTCAAGGTTGCTGTGAGCTATGATAACATCAATGCACACTACCTAGGGTGACAGTGAGACTCTGTCTCAAAAAACAAACATTTCTTTTTACATAGCTGCAAGCTGAACAAAAAACAGGTGGCAGGCTGGATCAGAATGATCTCAAATGCGACTCCAGGAGGGTGAATGTCTCAGTCAGTCGTTTGGTGAAGTTCTTAAACACGGGGCAGTAAGCTAGTGTTTTTATGGAAGGAGGCTCACAACTGAGGATTATGACAGCTAGATTCCTGGTGGGCAAATTATCTCCAGATTCTACCGGGTGATCTGCCCTGGAACCTTGACCAGAAGTAGCTGCGAAGTATTCGCTGCCCTCCGGGTCAGCTTCATCCTGCAACCCACCGTCGCCGCTAGGGGCGCCAGAGTGCGCGCATGCGCCCCTTGCATACCGCGCCGACCTTACGCCCGTACCTGGCGGCCAATCACAGGTCGCCCTGGACGCGCGTGCGGCGCCGAGTGCGCCGGCGTCCCCCGTGCCTGGGGCCTGAGGAGGCGTCATCGCCGCCGGCTTCGCCCCGGGGAGCATCTCCGGGGCGGGTGTGTAGCCGGCTGCTTGGGACAGCGGGCAGCTCAGGGACAGCCGCCCACCCGGACCAGTAAGGATGGGGGCGTGGCGTGACTCGGCGCGTTTCCCGAGGCGAGACGGGAGGGATTGCCTGGCTGGCCGGCGGCCACATCCCTGCGGTCCGGACGCTGCTCCTGGACCGCGCTGCGGGAGCGGCCTGTCCAGTGCCCCGACCTCAAGGGAGTGCGGGCCAGGCGGCCTCGGGCTGATCCCACGGCCCGCTCCCGAACACCCCTTTCCCTAATCTCAGCAGGCGCCACTTTGAATCACCCTCCCCTTTCCTATCTTCCCCACAGGGCGCCCTCGCCCGAGGCTAGGCCCTGCCTGGTCTCCCGGAGGATGGCGTCTATCATGGCTCCTGGTCCCCTTTCCATCCCCTCCCCCTCCTGCCCCATCGGTGGTCTCGGTGCCGCTTAATGCGTTTGAAAACCTTAAGCCTGTTTTGCGGCCTCAGGCCCACCCCCACTCTGGAAATCCGAGTGCTAAGATCGCAAAGACATTTAAATCTGTTGTGTGTCTCTCTCCTATCTCAACATTTTATTTTTCTTGTTTACTGCGTGTCCGCCAAAACACTGTTG